TCCAAATTTTGTTTAATTCACTTTTGGTAATTGTAAATGTTAATATATTTCACTTTTTGGTTATTGTAATTTTTACTATATTCCAAATTTTGTTTATTTGAATTGCAATTTTTAATATATTTTATATTTTATTCATTTAAAAAATTTTAATGCAATTTCACTTTTGGTAATTGTAAATTTTAGTTGGGTGCCAATTAATGAGTTTTTTACGATTTCTTTCCTTTCGGATTACTCCGAAGCGTTTATTTCTAAGATTGATAAAAAACTGATTTGAATAAAATCTTACATTAGTTCTTATAGTCTAACTTAATAATAAAATATGCAGCATCAACAGGAACTGTTGCTCGCGTAGTTTCCCACGAGAAATGCGATGGTCTGCGATGCACGTTGCATCTGCAACAGGTAGGGGCAATGATAGTAGCACCTGCATGCTATTTAGCATGAATTGAATTATATTGTCGACGCTGCAACCTTAGCTTAATTAGGTATTTGTGACATTAAGTGTCACCGGCATTAACTTATACATAAGCTCGCATTGCGTTAATTTTCCGTTACAAATTTTGTTTCTGATTTACTTTAATTTAAAATAGTAATTTTCAGTGGTCGATTCTAGCTTGATCGTTTTTAGTTCGTCCATTAGTTCCGTAATCGACTGCTTTTCACCAAAATTTGTTTTTGAATATTTGTTTAAGTTCGTGCCAATTTCTAGGCGTCTCGAATCTATGAATGACATTTCGCGCGTCACCCGCACATTTATTTTTTATATAATCAAATAAAATTTTTTTACTGTTTTCGCTAAAGATCTCCACCGTTGGCAAAATATTCTCAACTTGAGTAAAAAAATCGGGTAGCTGGTTTCTATAACTTCCATCGATCTTTCAATATTTTTTATACAGTTAAGCACGAGGTTAAACATGTTGATATTATTTTAATCCATATTGCTGCCAATGTTGTTGTTGTTATTATTATTACGGGTAAATTGTTTTTTCTTTTCAAGGTTATTACAATGCTTTTGCACATGAACATTTTTTTTTTGCACTTTCATGCAGTTTTTAAATTTTATATGCAATTATTATTATTATTTATAGAAATTTTATTATTTTTCCACAATTGCTCGGGCGCCAGTTAAGTCAGATGCAAATGAAACGCACTCCGCTGCAGTACATTTTTAACTATCTCTATATTTCTTTCTCAAAAATCTTAAAGTGTAAAATTATAGTAATTGTCTTAAAAACTAAGAGATCTTAGAGTATAATTAAAATTAGATGTGGTTCACACGCATATTATGATATAATTATGTATAATTATGATTATGATATATTATGTATAATTACGATTATGATATATTAAGTATATTATAATATATGACAGTATATGTTAATTTATTGGTGCGAAAGCCATTACACTATTTCGCTTTTTTTTGTTGACATAAAAACCTGTGCCTTTATGACATTGAATATCGGCGCTGTAGAAAATGCTATAATCTCGTTTCTTGATTTCGCCATGCTTTTTCCACCTTATTTCTTATAGGCACGCTACTGTAATGCCATATGTTCTAAGTTCGTCAGCTATTTCTACCATTTTACCGGAATGAAACATAGTCACAATATTCCATGTTGCTAATTTAAAATCGTTATCCTTCATTCGATGCGTAGGTTGATATTCTTCTCCGAGGCAGTACTGTTGGATTCGTGGCAATAGATTTTATAACTGAATAGCGGTCACCAGCCTCAGACCAGGTTTTCTCATCTCATTTCTTCTCTTCCGACAATTCCACTGCAGTGGAAAGGAAGCAACCTGATTATAAACAGATTTGAACTCCCTAAAAGCGATAACGAAATACACAATGAACAGACTCACAGTGGGACAAATCCGAAAACAACCACACATAAACAAAAATATACAAAAAAACCCAAGACTCCTTCAATTTTCATCCAAAAAGTCTAACAATTTAGCACTTTAATAAATGCATGTAAATATGATATAAAATTTCCACCAAAAAATTAGGTCAAACTGCAACCATTTGACTCCATTCATTACACTAGCATAAGAAAGCTACTAAAAGAAAAAATTACTGAATATCACACCTATAAACCAAAGGAAGAACGAGGTTTAAGGTCTTCTTCTGTGGCATGCACTAACCTGTTGAAACAAATAAAATTAAAAATAGTCTTCATGAAAACGGTCATGAAATTATAAATAACATGAACATATTACAACCACGAACTAAGAGACCATTAAATTTATTCTCTACAGAATTAAAACAAAATGTTAATAACAATTTGAGCCACTTCACCCACAAAAAGTCCTACCTCAATGCTCTAACTGTCAAAAATAAGGGCACACAAAAAAATTTCTGCACAAAGTCACCGGTTTGTGTGAAAAGTGCAGGAAATCATAAAACCGCCAGTTGTTCAACAAAAGAAAATTCTGAAAACATAAGCTGTGTATTATGCGGAGAAAAGCATACAGCCAACTACAAGGGATGTGAGGTATACAAAATCAAATACACTTAAAATCAAACGATATCCTATCTTGAGAGAAAAAGTAACACCCGTCCATACAAGTCATCAACAATCTTCTAACACAACAAACAATGTAACCTCTAAAAACAAAAAGGCCAGCATTCCACAAACATTATCATATGTCCAAGTTACACGCTAAATACCTGTTGAATCAAACTCTTCCAACTCAGAACACACAGAGTTAAAAGAAATGATGAAAATATTGATAACACAAATGTCAGGAATGATGAACATTTTAACGTTGGTGGAACTGATATATTTATAAAAAACTGTATATTTAGCTAAAAATCAGAAAATCATAGTACAGAACAAATACAAGCGACCACATTAATGATTGAAGAATCTTATGGTCTATTAAAATAGGCTGAGGTTTATTGTCCACCAAAGTTCTCAAATACTAAAGAAACACATTTAAATTACCTCATGGTTTAAGAATGGTTTAAAAAGTTCAAAGACGGTCGTACACGCTTGGACTATGATGAGATCCAAGCTTTCTTCTGTTACTGAAGAAAACATTGAATCGGCGAAGCAGATCGTGTTGGAAAATCATTGTGAACCGATTAGAGAGATTGCAGTGTTGTTGGGCATCTAATATGGATCGACCGAACACATTTTAAGTGATGTTTTGGGTTTGAAACGCGTCGCTTCTCGGGTTGTGGCAAAAAAGCTTAATTTCATTCAAAAAAAACATCATTGTGATGTGACCCAAGAACGCATCATAACTGGTGATGAGACATGGGTCTATGAATTTGACATGCCCACCAAACAACAATCGACCGAATGGTGTTTCGAAGGTGAGCCGAAACCGAAAAGAGAACGCCAAAGTCGGTCCAAAATCAAGGTAATGCTAACTGTTTTCTTCGATATTCGTGGTGTGGTGCACTATGAATTCCTTCCGGACGGTCAAACTTTCAATAAGGAGTATTATTTGGCCGTTATGCGTCGTTTGCGTGAGGACATTCGCAAGAAGTGGCCAGATTTATGGAAGGAAAACTCATGGATTTCACTCCACGTAAACGCACCGGCTCACGCAGCGTTGGCTCTAAGAAGATCACTGTGGGTGTGTTTTTAGACGTAGTCAAAGCATTCAACAGCTTCTGGCACGAAGGATTGCTTTACAAACTATCAAAAATATTGCTTGCCGTTTTTTATTTACTACTGAAGAGTTACCTCAAAGATTATTATTATTTTTATGCAATATTAAAACGACACATCCCACATGATAAAGATAGAAGCCAGTGCCCCTTAAGGGAGTATATTACTTTGGATTCTGTATCTTCCATACACTGCGGACATTCTTAATCTAAAAAGTGGGGAAATACCAACTGTAACGTTTGCTGACGACACTGGAATTTTATCAACAAACCATGACATCACAAAAGCAACTGCAAACCTTCAAAATCATCTGAACGAAGTGACACATTGGTCTGACACCTGGGGGATTAAAATAAACGCCAAAAAAACTGTTCAAGTTATTGTCACTAACGGGAAATTTTAGACACTGAAAATTTTGAACATTGGCATACTAATCTGTAAGAAAGTCAAATACTTCGGCATGCTATAAGGCCAAAAGCTGACTTGGAAGGAGCACATAATACAGAAAAAAAAGGAAGCGCATCGAAGACTTGCAGATCTATATTGGCTTGGTAAAAATTCCAGTTTGACAATAGATAACAAACTACTAATTTATAAAACTGTTATTGTTGCAATTTACATATTATATACAAAAAAAATGAAAGTGGCTTTCTGTGCTTGAAATAGTATTCTTGCTTGAGCGGAATTATAGACACAGAAGCTATATTTTCAATCGGAAATTATTTATTGTGTTCTGTTGATTTCATAAGCCGGAAACCTGAAACTTATTCTGGAATATTTCTCTCAAAAATTTTGTGTTGTCAATATTTTCGAATTTAATCCAAGTTTGCTGTGTTGAATAAGAGTGTTGACGGCTACATTATTCCCCATTTCGGAAAAGCACCTCGCGACCATAACGCGAAGTGTATACCCTACGATCGTGCATGTCAGTGAATAAGAGCTGAACTTCTTGTTCCTTAACATTATCCTCACTGAACGCTGTTTTGAGGCGGTCCACCGAGATGTTGGCTTTTCTTCCTTTAATGTCCACAACATAATATGAATCAAAGCGTTTAAAAATAAATAAAAAAATACAAAAATAAAATTATAAAAAAGTAAAAATTATTTATATATTCAAATTGTATGAAATGTATTGAAATTATATGAAATGTATTAACATGTTATCTTAAATGATGATTTAATATGACTCAAACTTCTAAACTTCATTTATTAAAAGTATAACTAGATATCTATGATAACATAGCTGTAATATTAATGAAATTATAAAACAAAAATTAAAATAAAAAAGATTTCTGGTGTTTAATAAATATTACTTTAAACATTCTTCAAAATAAATTGCGATTTTTGTGGTTATAAATATTAATATATTATATTATTTTCAATTTATTGATATCCAAAACGATGCTTTTAAAATTTTAAATATTTGGATTGATCTTTTGCATTTTGTTTTCGATTTGCTACTTTAGACCCAAACTGGATAGCTTTTTTTTTAAAAAATGCCGAGGATGTTAATCCCAACTGATATCCATAAAGTCTTAGAAAAAGCTTATCACCAATTCCTTGTTCTAGTAAAAAACAACACCGTTGTCCAGGTGATAAACTGCGCACATAATTAACTAATTTTTCTTCAATATAAGGTGCCCGCACAGTTTTGCCATTATCAGCTATAATGCGATCATCTCTAGCTAAATTACGAGATGAAATCCTTTTCCAATCTCTTTCCAATTCAGTACGAACAACTATTTGTTTTTCTTCATTTTTCTTACATCTGCTGTAAGCATTTCTATGTCTTGTGTACCCTCCAAACAATTCATCTGCACCACTTCCAACGATTGCAACCTGAAATTAAAAAAATAAGTTTTAGTCACAATGCGATTTTAGGTTGGCACAATGCGATTGAACTGAAATTTTATTTCCCTTAATTTATAATCAAAACGAATATTTTAAGAACCAGAGACATATGAAAATCAAAAAAAAAATTCTTTTGCGGCCATTTTAGTATACATAGCCCCCTATTCTGTAAATTTTATAAATTTATCAAGTATTGTTAATTAATCAAGATTTTTATCAAGCTATTATGTGCAAATATTGATCAATTTCAAAGCTCAAATGCCTTAAGCTTTTTACCACAGAATTAAGATTAAGGATTAGTTATTTAATTCATATCATGTCTTATTACTTATATTTTTTTTAATTCGTGATTTGCTCTTTATAATATTATTATGTATATAGACAACTCAAAACTATTGTTATATTTTTGTTTATTATTTATTATTATTATTATTATTATATAAAATTTATTAAATATACAATATTTTAATAAATAATTATAAATTCAGTAATTATGCTATTTTGAATTTTATTATGCATATAGATAATGATTTCGTACAAACGTTATTCAAATTTCGAGTTTAATCACTTCTTACTGTTTATTTGTAAACAACAATTGCACTTGCCGTTCTATAATTAGTTGACTTTCTCTAATTGCAGAGCGAGCGTCATAAAAGCTGATTGAAAGATCAAACAAAGAAGCAATAAAATCAAGTTACCAATTAGCAAATTGTTTAATAGCGACCTTCTTAGAGCAATAAGAGACATACAACAATATTTAATTTCAATATTATAAGACAGCTGCCTTTTAAGTCTAACAATGAAAATACAGTGATTAATCAATAAAAAATGGTGTTATTGTTTTTCGAAGTATTCCCCAAGGTGGTCAATACATTTTTACAATCGATTGAACCAATTTTCAAAACAGTTTATCTACTGTAAGGCCCAAATTTTATTCTAAAATTTAACCCCACAAATCAAATGAATAGTCAAATATGAGTTTTAAATTCACTTAGTAAAAACATGTTTCTAAATTCAACAAAATTTTCCTACAGTAACATCCATTTTTATTATAAACAAATGACCCTGTAAATTTCATATTAGAGACAAACATTTTGTATAAACGAATGACCCTGTAAAGTAAAATATGTTTTGATTAATTTTTTGCCGCTAATAAAAGTTAGTTAAATTTGTTGTAACTATTTCACTTGTTTGTCTGCATAAACAAATTTAAGAAAATATCGTGCACGCATTTTTTATATGATGCAGTTATTTTATTGAATTTGATTGCAAAGCGTACAACAATAAGAAATTTGTTTTGACAAATTTACGGGACCTTGTTTACTTGAAGATAATTTTTGTTTTTGCCTGTAATGGAGGGAATTTCAAATAAAAGGGCAGCGAAATTGCCAAATCGTTCTATTCGGAATTTCTCCTGTTACAGGTAAGAACTATTTTGTTAGGGACGATAGTGGGAGCTCGGACTAGTTGGTCCAGGCACATGTTGATTCGTTTGGCCATTGCTGACGATCACCATGTGAATGGATGGACTGATTTGGGCGAAGTGATGGTGGTTGAATTACCTTCTGCTTGGCTTATGCTGGCGTAGGATAGTTTAACCAGTTGAGTTACCTGATGCTTGGCTTATGCTGGCGTAGGGTAATTTAACTAGTCATCCAGACTTCCATTTGGCCATAGCTGATGGAGGAATGGGCGACGAGTCACCAACACTGTCAGAAGGCGTGTGGGACAACGAGCGTTTGGCAATTGCTGACGGACGTGGCCAGGCGTAATAGCAGGAAGGGACCCTTGTCTGGTTTTTACTGACAAAGGTATTGATTTATATTTTATTAGAGTTTCTTTAGATTAGCTATTCGGAATTTCTCCTGTTACAGATTTCACGATACAACATTCTACACCGTGTACAACATCGCTACAACAGTGTTACAACATTAATAACATCCACATCATTGACAACATTTTCAACATCACTGTCTATTACTTTCCACAACTTAATTTATATTTTTTTTGGTTAAATAATAAACGCTACTTTAAACAGAAGTGTCTCTATTATTTCACATTTATAAATTTCTTATAACGAACCCTGGTATACTCGCTGAGTATACCCCAGCTATAGATAGGGCCGGGAAAAAAGGTCGTTACACTACTCTGAAGTTAATATCTCCAAAACCAGGATTTTGAACGTCTCAACGACTTATTGGGCGTAGAAAAACGTTTGCCACGTATTTTTTTTTTAATGCTTGGGAACTAGAAGTCATTGAGGGCCAAGTCGGGACTGTAAAGCGAATGACCCATCAATCCGACGTTTTAGTGCTCAAATATTCTTGTTTAAGCTGATGTGTGTGTGCCCACATTGTCGTAATGTGAATGATTTCGGCAAATAAATGGGTGTGTACCACTCAGAATTGACCGTTCTACGTTAATTAAGTGGTGCAGTTGCAATATGGCCGATTTTCTCAAAAAAAACATGTCACTAATTGCTTGGATTTGCTCTGTCCGCTGACAATTTTTGTTGGGTTCTGCTCACTTCGGAAGAATCAAACAGTCGATTGCTGTTCTGTTTTTGGCTCATAGGGGGTACACTCATGATTTGTCAACTGTTTCGATGTTGTGTATATCTTTTGAGTTACTTCGCTCGAATGTTTTTAGCATTCGCATACACCAATAGATATATATATCAAATTTATAATTTGATATTCCTCTCAGCGGGACAGGAAATATGTTTACTTGAATTTAGCTTATACTATATTAAGTCAGTAGAGTGCAAATTTCTTCTACTCCTATTTGCTAATGATCTCATTAACGTAAGTTTTTGTGAGTCCACAAAAAGGCTCGGGGCCAATTAAAAGCCTATGTTCCATCCTCTTGGCTAGCCATTTTTTTGTCTTCATATCCTTACACCCATTTTTTACTACATTATTAAAATGCTTTAACTTATTAATATAGTTCAGTCAATCATTTACAATATTCAAGGAAATCATTGAAGACTTGAAGGATTTTTATGCCGTCTGACTATTTGATAGTATGTACATTTATATTACTACCACTTTCTTACGAAGATAATTCCTTGTATATATTTTAAGGGCATGTGTTTTTGTCTAAAAAATTGAAATTGATTTTTTGAATCTTGGCCATTCTTTCTCCAGATCACATGTCATAATAACTTGGAAGTTTAGAAAGAAGATTAGTTTTAAAGCAACGTTCTACGACTTTTAGATGCATTTTTATTTACCGCTTTTTAGTTTCAGGGTGCTTCTGTATCAATAAGGATTTCTAAAATTACTCCCAAAGAATTAGTTGCACAGTATTGCATTGCCCCTATAACATTGATTTAAACAAAACGATGCCTTTTGTGAAGTTCATTTCATCTTTTCTTTTATTTGATTTTTAAGTACTCCGCTTTATTATAAAATTGAATTGTGGTGACATTTATTGAATATGAGATTAATACTTCGTCTTCTAGTTAATAGTATCAGTGTAGTTTTGCACGGGTTAACAGAAAGCTCTTCTTCTATATACCATTTATTTATCAGTGATAAGGCTTACTGTATGCGATCCGAAATGGTCTTGTAATATACAGTTATTATTCATTAATATAACTGATACCCACATCGATTGTCTTTTAATATTTATTCTTTATTTATGCGATTATTAATGTTGTTGCTCAAGCAACATCCCAAATGCTTCTGTTCTGTAAGAGCAGAGCAGCATACACACGCAGCTCAAAGTGTTTAGACCATACACAAAATGAATAACAAATGTTTTTGTTTATATTATGTATGCTACAGTCTACTCATGCCAGCTCATCACCACATTAGTAATCGCGTATGCGTAAGATAATGACAAGTGTTTAGGTAATGGAAAAAATTTCTATTACTTGAATCCACAGAAGCGGAGGGATAATATTCCCTTGCGGTTATACGCTTGTGTCATAATAAATATCGGTGCTCCGCCAAATTCCACATTGATAGTTCTAGACCACATTATAGATACTGAGCATAATCCAGCATGGATAGATTATTATTGGTATGAACACTTTCTTTTGATGGAGCGTATTATTTGAGTTATAGGAAGTGTTGACAAAAAGAATATCAATAAATGCCCATAGATATATTTGCTTTGATTGCGCAGCGATAACAATCGTCAGGCTATGTACTGCAGTGCTAGTAGATTGGAAAACTAAAAAAAGATTTCTTATTAAACAGATACGTGCCCCATTGTTACAAAAAACCTTGTTCTGTAATCTTTCGTCATATCCGTGAATTTTTAAATCTAATATTTATTTTTTATTTATAAATGTCTACATTCTATCTGTTCAATGTTTTTCCTCTCAACAAATGGTAACCCTACTTCAGCCACTTCAAAGAAACTTTGTGTTATTATGTAGCTTTAATGCACAGAGCCCCTTTTGAGGTTTCATCAATTAAAATCTTAGAATGAACATCACAGAAGACGATAGTTCGTTTACACGCTGTTCTTTACCAATGTTGGTCTTATATTGTATAGCACCAGTTTTGCCCCAAGATTTAGATCAGTAGTTCCCAACCGGTGGTACGTGAAATGGTTAAAAATGGTCCGTGAATCAAATTCAACAGGTATTGATATATAGCTTGTAGTTTGTTCTCTGAGACCTCATTTATTACAAAATAAGTATACAAAATTTCCATCCAATGTAACTATTTTATGTTAATGCTTATATAATATACCTATGCATTTATATAATTCATTATACATTATACCAGCGATGCCAAGCTCGAAGAACTTGAAGCATTTCGAGTTCTTCACAAAAACTTAAAAATGTATGTGGCTCTTGCAGCTCGCGATCTCTTTGCAATATATATTTCAAATGCATATGTGTAGCAAAGAAAAATATATCAAATGTATCGATTTTTTTTAAATATGATTTTTATATATAAACAACAACCAATAATATAATTATATAAAGTTTTATTATTATTCAATGTAAAGAGTTTCTGTTAGAACCAGAA